ATAGGAAAAGACAATATCAAATATATAGATGAAGATGATATAGGTAAATATGTAGATTACATATTTGAAGACATATTGCCTGACTATTATTTTAACCCATAAACCTTACAATAAAAAACATTGTAAGATTTATGATTTCAAAATGACTTGAAGAAATAATAACTTAATATATTATAGTGAAATGAGTGATACAGTCGGTATCAATGCTAAAAATATATTGAAAAACAAGTTTATGAGTTATAAATGTAAAGACTGTGAAATGCTCAAATTACCAATTGAACGGGGTTTTGCAAATGGCGTTTGTAATAATATTTGTCAATATATGATATGCAATAATTGCAATAGAATTATAAAAAAAATTGATGATATGAATAACAAAGATATTGATATTATACATAATGAAACTCTTGATGATGATTTAGAAATATTTGTGTTTATTGAAATGAATAATTTCTTAACTATAGAAGGGTTTGATCATTTATTAACTGAGTGTGATGACGAAGGATATAATAATGATTTTATTTTTAAGTATTATAGTATTGTAAAACAATTATACAATATGTCTTTTAATATTAAACGTTTAAAATACGTTGTATTGTTTGATTTTTTAAATGAGTTTTTAAATAATGAGTATAAAACTCACGAACTTAGATATACAATAACACGTGCAATTGGAATAATGGGAATGTTTAGAACAAAAATAGGAAGTAATATTTATAATGAAACAACGTGTGATAAAATAATAGAAAGACTTAAAAAAGAATATTGTCCCGACATCAATTAAATTATTATCCTGAACTTAAATTATAAATTACACCATAAACCTTACAATAAAAAACATTGTAAGATTTATGTTTTGAAATTATGGGGATTTTGGGATTTGGGATTTTGGGAAATTATATTTTGGGAATTTGGGATTTTGGGATTTAGGTGATAAAATTGGTTGAGGTGGCATGCCCCTGTTGGTTAATATGGTTGAAGTGGTTGGTTGAGGGGATTTTATCTGAACTGGGGCATGCCCTTTGGTAGGTGTTACACCCCCGTAGCTGACAGTCTGATTCCTGACAGTTGCAGCTGCCTTCACCAGCTGTCTATATGTCACTTTCCCATGGTGTGTTCGGTCCCAAGGATATCGGTGTGATGTCAAGGGGTTGATAGACATGTTCCCATGTCTCCGTCATGAAGGTTTGATCTGCGACAACTGATTTGGGTTGCAAGTGGTACTGGTCAAAATAGTTCCTGAGGACAGTGATGTTCTCGACTTCTTGCGTAGTTGTCACTGCCTCTGCAGTGAGCAATGTTGTTGCTCCATCCAGGATGACAAAAACAATGATGTGTTCTGTGTTCTCCTGTTCCAAGAGGAACTTGACAGTGATCAATGAATGTCATGTCACCAAAGGTGTCCGCTCGAAGTCCACTCGTCTTGCTTCGTGATGGTGCATGTTTTGCCGCTTGGCAAACTTCACATTCACTTCGGATTTTGTCAAAATAGATCGATTGTTGATTTTGGCAAGTGAAGCGAACGAGTTCTGAATCGAAATTGGTCTGTTGTCATGTGATGATGCTGGAGGTGGAGCTTCTTCAACTCTTCGGGATTTGACAATCGCTTGTGGATTCTGCCTAGGGCAATCGGAAGCGATGTTGGTTCATCTGAGGATGGTGCGAAAGGATCTGGCTCAATGGTCGACCGGCCCTTCTTGTCGATGATCCTGTCTGCTGCCGATCCTGAACCTGCTTCTTCGTCCTTAAGCGAATTGTCCGCGAAGGTGAAAATGGTCTTACCTATCCACAGGTTAATCATCGGTTTGTTTGCCTGGGAAGTAAGTCTCCAGGTGTCTTCTAGGATGTCTGGATCTCCACCTTCGGATGCATCAATGATTTCCGTAGTACGCTCTCGGCTGATATTATCAGGATTGATTGGACATTCCTTGGCTCCATTTGGTGTGAACAACGCCGTGCGAGGCGTAATGTGCACACGGATGAGCTGCTTGTTCTTCTTGTCAAGGATCCAATGGTCCTGCTTTTGAGAGCCAAAGATTTTAGGAGTTGCTAGGTCCTCCTTCGTCTCGGATGACTTGGATGCACAAACAGTTTCACTCTTGGAGATATCCCCGGAGGGAAGCCTGATGCTGTTGTCATCATCGTAGACGTAGTTGGTGAGGCCCTTGATGGCAATTTCTCCATGTACTTTCACTCTTGCAACTCCAGCGAGGTCGACGAGTGCATGTCCTGTACCGGATACTGGAACTGCTTGACGGTTCATGCCAAAGGCCTTGCATGTGATCTTGTCACATTGAGGTGTGTGCTCGATGGCCATGTAGAGGTTCCGCATCTGACTGATGCTGAGGAGGATCGGTACAGTTCCTTGGTCGATGTTGCTACTGCATGGAGGAGTTGTGTGATATCGGAGATGCAAGGTCCAATTTACCTTGGCTGTTTTCTCCGTTTGCAAAAGTGAACTTGGTCTCGGCAGGGATGTACTGATAGGAGATGAGGTCCTTCGTGGGTTCGATGGCCTGAGTAAAACGCTGGATTGCATGCCAGCTGCCCATGGATCTGGTACATCCATTGTCCAGAATCGCATAGGTCGGATTGTGCTGAGGGTTGATGACAGGCGCCATCAGCTTTGTTGCCAAAAGGCTGTGATCTGTTGTGACGGACAAATTGTGTTCTGAAACTGCATCTGATTGGATCAGCTTCCCGTGGATGGCCTCTTTCTCATGATGCTCATAGCGAACGTCTTGGATTTTCCTTTTTTTGTCCGCCCTTTCCTTTGCCATTCTCATAGGATGGACAACCCTTGTTTCCATCATAGGGATATTGGAATTTGGCTTTTCCTTTCTTTCCCTTCTTTCCTTTGCCTTTTCCCCAATATGCCTGGTGGTAGGGATCATGGTTTTCATTGGCCATATTGGCCTTCCCGCCAGAACCGCTTTTTCGAAAGGGTTTGAAGCCACCTCGTTGGTGACTGCCCTTTTCGTTTCCTGATTTTCCTTTTCCTTTCCTCTTTTTGAATCTGAAATTCCGCCCTGACGCTTTTCTTGCTACGAACGCATCATTCTCCGAGGACCCAGAATGTTTCTTCATCGTTGTTTGACATGAATCCTTCAAGTCCTTCTTCATCCTCAACCCAAAAGCCTTCTTCTCCTTCGTGTTCACCTTGTTCGATGATGAAGAAGGTGTTGCTTCGGTTGCCTCCCTCAGGTCGGATGGATGGATCTTGAATGGATGTCCTGGTCGTGATGAAGAGTTCATGGTAATGCGTCTTCAGCATCTCATAGGAGTAGTTCTCTAGTGAAATGTTTCTCAGTGACATAGCACTGGTCAGTCTCTCTCTCTGCTGATCTGACAATTCACTCTGAATGAATGATGAAAAACTGCGTGAGATTATCCTTGAAGGGAAATGCGTCCCGCTGTCTGTCCTGCATTCCCGTGATATACTGTCTGAGGACTGTCGGATCATCCTCATTGAGCAGGACTGGAGGCGGTACTCGAGTACCAGCTGCTTGCTGATGTCGAGCAATTCTTCTTGCGTTTGCGTCCTGTACGGACTGTCGAAATGATGGGGACTGTGCCCTGAAAACGGGCACCAAGTCCATCCATGCTGCCTTCAATCTCATAAGAAGGATTTCGAATTTTGAGGTAAAAATGAGGAACTCTTGGTTCTGCCTTCTATGATTGAAGAAACTGAGGAGCCTGTGCAGCTACACGTTGGTCGCACCCTTCAATACTTCTTCAGCGTGTTCTTGAAATAGTTGACTCCTTCATCAGGATCTTGCAAAAGGTCATTTTGGAGGACTGCCTTGTACATGTAAGCATCTCCTGTGAGTCTGCTTTTGATGAAGGTCCTCTCTTGGGTGCTTCCACCGTAGTGATTGTCACCCAGTCGTCCACGAGTTCTTCATACCTGAACCAGCTGACTTTTCCGTCGTATGATGGCGGCTGCTTGGCAGTCATCGATAAATTGAGTGTTTCCTCCGTATAGCCGGATGGTTTGGCCACACTTGAATAGGCCTCCATGAAGCCTTCTCCATCGGATGACATTTTCCCTTGGATCTCTGCGGAAAACCCGCTCCGCAACCACAAATTGAGGCCCGCTGCCGGGGTGCCTATCCTAGAAGGGAACTGGTACTGTGGTAGTAGAGGTCGTTGATTTGGTCCCTGGATCTATTCCGGAGAGAGTCCAATATGCCAATATGGAGGATTGGAGGATGGATTGTCCCTGGTGGCTTGTATTGACTGTTATACCTGTAAAGCGGTCTGCAAGCCTTTTATTAATGTACCATGCGTCGAGTGACTGTACGATTGAAATAGAAGGGCCTTGAGCCAAATGTTGCAGGAGATCAAGTGTTCAACAAACCAAACACGGGGGGGGGGGGGGGGGGGGACGAAACCCTGCGTAATTGACGTGTCCCGGGGGGGACTTCGGGGGGGGGGTTATCCTCTATCCTCTCTTAGGTATCCAACACGCCGAACAAGGTCAGCGGACATTACCAGGGGTGCCACCTAGCTTCAGTGCCCAATTTTAGAACATTTATATGTGGGTGCCACGGTACATTGTGTCTCATTCCTGGCCTGGTTGGACAAGTGTAACTAGCTGCGCGCTTGCTTGTTGAGATGGCTGCAACTGCATGCAGTTCTTCATCCGCAAGACACGTTCTTTTTTTTGGTAGTGCCAATTCGTCCACGCGCCTTGTACAGCCGTAAAGGAACAATGGCTGGGATCCACTAGATTTGTGGCTCCAAAAGGTGCAAAGAATTTGATGTGCGCTGAATGCTGGAATCTGCACTGCTTGTTGCTGATGGTGCAAGCAACTTTTCGGGGATCCAAGCATTTCCGTTCGGCGGGAGATATTTTCATTCGCATGTCCAGAAAAGGAGGAAAATCCACTTTTGTCCACAAGCCGAGAAACAAAGAAACAAACACTAGAGGTCAAACCAGTTCTGGTGACTTAGTGGGGTCACCTAGTAACTGCGTCCGCTGGGACAAATTCGTCCAGGCGGCGGCAGCGGTTCAACAGGCCTTAGCACAGTGGCTGGCTTTTCGCGCCCTCCTCAACGAGAGTGTGGACACCGTGGTGCAGGACATCGCTTTTGACCAAAAAGAAAACAGACCCTGAGGAGTTTTTGTGGCCCAGCTATGGGGACACACCATGTGACACAGTTGTTGCTTCAGCCTCCTGGTCCTCTGCTCGTCCTGTGTGTCGATGGCGCGTCCACGTCATAGGTGCAAGGGGAGTCATTTCCGAGAAGCGTGACGATTGGTGCTCACTAAGGGCCAAGGAGCATGGAGACCTTGCAAATCACTCCCCGTGTTCTGTGGATGGACCAAATCCACTTCGCCCTAGTTGCGACAGATGAAGCTCCTTTTGCCTATCCACAGCTATAAATCAAAACCAAACCTCCAAACCACCCCACAACCTGCAAACCACCAACTTGAAAGGACATTTCTCACGGCGCCTTGGTGACCGGGCAAAAATAAAAACCGGGTAGATGAACGTGAACAAGGGAAAGAGGTCTGATATCCGCCGTTTACATTCTTTAGATGGCAATGGGTACCAGGTGTTGACTATGTCTCACTTGAAAAAGAGGGTAGCTGGGTTACTTGCAACTGGGAATCCAGGATTAATGAACCCTTGGTTGATCATCCAAAGATTTGTCCCTTTCAAGCCATATTTGTTCACTTGGGGGGGGGGTGAACACCTTCCCTATTGTCAACATCAACCTTTTGGACAATGCGTATTGCCCCCCGGGTACAAAAGCACACTTCTGGCAAGGGCGCTTGAGACCAAGCAAGCTTGGGGCGCGAGTGTGTGGATGTTGGCAAAAATGCCGGAGCAATTCCTTTCCCAGAGGGTTGTTTGGTTCGACTTTGGAAGGGTTCAAATGGGTATGTCCTCCTTGGAGTGGTTGTAACGGGAAATCGAACATCAAAAGGAACACCACCATTTGTTGGGTCCCCCTAGTTTACACGCACACAAATGGGTCAAAGTACCTTTTTTGAAGGCACTTGTTATTGGAAGCTTGAACATAGAGGGTTGAATTGGCAGGGTGGATAGCCCCTATCATATTGCAAGTCAATCATACCACAAAAAACACAGCCATGGTAAATCACAGCAAGTTCCGTCAAATCACGTCCCGACTATGCCAGTACGCTGCGTGCCCATCGTCCATGTGGACGGGCATCAATCCCTGTACTATCAGGGCTTGGAACTAAAACACCAAATTGAATCATAGTCACAGAAGGAGTGTGGCAGGCATTTTTTCTGAGGGTGTTTGTATTGCACCCTGGGACTACACACGGTTTTATCCGGTGCCTAAAATGGGGTCAATACCCAGTGGGTGTATTCCCAGGGTGTAATACAAAAACCCTTAGAAATCTTTGGACTTGTTCTTTAGCCTAAACCCGTGGTCCGCGGGTTCCGTGCTCCATGGCGGTCAGGGTGGCTTCGCCAACAGTGCGGTGGTGCAGGCGGTAGCCCGGTCGGCCGAGGACAAGGGTTGCACTTGTTTCGGTCCAATTCCTTTGAATCAAGGTCAAAAGGAGATGGATAAGATAACCATTTTGTTGTTATATTTTCAAAGACACATTTTGAACGGACATGGTGTGGTGCTGACATTTTGAAAGGAAGTCGTTTGGTGGTTACATTTTTGAACGGAAGCAATTTGAAAGGAAACTGTTTGGGGGTGAAAGGCTAAAGGCAAGCAGTTTGGAAGGAAGCGCCCATTTGTAAGGGATACATTGTGAAAGGACACCGTTTGGCAGTTAATTAGGGAAGCAACTTCAAAAGAAGCTGTTTGATGGTTGCAGTTTAGAAGGCAACAATTTAAACGAACACGTTCGGTGGTGGCCATTTAAGCAGACACACTTTGAAGGTGCACCGTTTGGTGGTGACATTTCAAAGGCCCTGTGGTGGTTATATTGTAAACGGCCATTCATTCGCAAAAGGTGATGTTAATTGCAGAATTTACACCGAACTCACCTTGGAGCCGTCAAAATGCAAAAACAATTGGCCAGCTCCTACTGGCCGAGAGGGTGAAAGGGCTTCTTAAGGGTGCCCCAACAATTTGAAAGCAAGCAACTTGAAGGAAAACCGTTTGGCCGTTGTTTGCCCCCAAGGACCTCTACGTAGCCGTGGAGGGGATCTCCAGCAGCCTGAGAGTGGCGGCAGAGTCTGCGGGTGCCTATCTGAGCGGATTGCTGGTGGAGCTTTGGCCACGATCCATTGGTCAGGCGAGTCACAATCAAAACACGGGCAAGGAAAGGTTAGTAGGAGACAATCCCAACCACAAGTAGCTGCGGACATAATTCTTTACATGGTTCTGGGTCGACCATTTTACTACCGGGTTTTGATTATGACTCAGGTAGTGGAAGGTCATCCACTTCGAGGCATAGGTGTCCAATTTTTGGTTGTTTTGCTCGAGAAATAGAGGGCGATTCCTGGTTTACCCGGTGGTTGAAAATCTTCTACCAGGGAAACCCATCTATTTCCCCTAAAAAATCGCCTATGGAGGCAAGGTTATCACCTTACATAAAGGTATGCTTATGTTGTTTCTTCCAGGCACCTTATCTTAAACAGTCACAGCTGCGGAAAAAAACTGCTGGTGAACTGGCCTACAAGCAAGAGAGAAAGAAAACCAGAAACGGCCAGGACGGGCAACACACTGGGCTGGAAAAGCCAAAGCAAAACAACACCAGATAAAATACACAGAAAATTATCAACCAACAACAGAACTCCTTAAAAGATACATTTTGCCCATTTGAAACATGGCTTTTTCCACCAAAATAAAGGGACACCTGACAAAACAAACAGCAAAGAGACACGGCCGGGGCTTTTCTGCCGCGGCCTCGGACGAAATGACAAGCACATCTCGTCATTTGGCAAAGTCCATTTCGCACCCGGACGAAACTTATTTTGAAACTGCTTAGGCAGCGGATCTGGTGCATAACCTCCTGCGGGGCCGATGTTGCTTTTCCCCATGCTATTTGATTTCTTGTTGGCTCAACGGCATGAGTCTATGCCATTTGAGCCCCCATGGATCTCTGTGGGCTCAATGGACAATCGGTTCCATGGGAACAAACTGCGGCCGGGGCTGAGGAGATCGCCGCGCGGCAGCGCACGCTGATCCAGCGCATCTGCAAGGTGGGGAGTCTTTGGCGCTGTGCTTGCGGGGGTTGGTCTCCAAGGGAGAAGTCAGACACAAATTCCTGTGCATTTTGCCAAGGGATGTGAGGACTGAACAACTTTTTGATCCAACTAATGGGTTTTCCGTATTAAACCACCAACAGTTGAGAACTTTTAGCAGGGCTTCGCAGATTTCGCCACCGAGTTTCGGTGGCCTCCCTTGGTCTCAACAGGGGTGCCTAAGGAAAATTATCCCCCCCAAGTGTCCCTCCATCTTGGCCCCTCCTGGTCATGTGTAAAGCCGCATACCAGTTAATAACAATTGTTTTGTCCGCCGGCTCAAACCGAGGTTGATGAATATCTATTCTGGGAAAACCCTTTTACGTCTACCTTGCAATCAACAAAGAGAACCCTGCTTTGGGGACCCGTTCCGCCTTTGAGCCTCATTTTAAGAAACAGGTTGGAGGTGCAACACACAGAGAGTCGCCACCGAAAAAAGCTCCCTGCCAAAAAGGGATAGGCTTTTGATTCTGTCAAGAACCTGACACCCCCAAGGTGTTCTTGTTTGTAGAACACTCGTCAACTAGGCGTCCCCGAACTTCAAGTGCTTTTGATTCTGTCAAGAACCTGACACCCCCAAGGCCCCAAGGTGTTCTTTTTGTAAAACACTCATCAAGTAGGCGTCCCCGAACTTCAAGTGCTTTTGCTTCTTTGCAAGGTCTGCAACAAAATGAACTTCAATTCGCTGCCAGCTTTTTTTTTGGCACCGTTTGTAATGAGTTTGTACATGCATTAAAGAGAGTAACTTGAGGGGTTATCAAAGGTACGGCAGGCTTGTTCCCCTTACCAACTTGAAACTCGATGGGGGTTCCCCAGCCGCGAGGTAGCGTTGTTGGTGGCGCACAGTGTGAATCTGGGGCAGTCCAGGGCGATCTTGCAAGAAGTGTCCTCGCTCTACGAAGAGTCCAGGGAGGGGATCGTCTTTGGCATCCGCGTGGCAGGGGTGCCTGCACTGAAGCTTTGGCGACAGACATGGGCATGCTACATAGGAAGAGTTGTTGAACCCCCAATCCATTTTTACACTTCCCAGAAGTCCTTGAAGGGGGTTATAGCCACACTTGCTATGTAGCCTGCGAAGAATATATATATATATATATATATATATATATATATATATATGTATTTTTTAAACCTCTTGATCTTCAGTTTTGGCAGAGCGAAGGTTCCATTGTTTCAAAATCCTTGGAACTGACCGAAAGGTGTGAGAGGGTCTATTCTTGGTGTTCTAAGCTCATAGGCTGTGAATATTTGGCCTCTTGACTTGCCTCCATCTTCTGTGCATGACCACGAATCCGCCGGTGCATTTCGGTTTAATAGGAATTCCTTCGGCCATATTTGTGTCTTTGACACGCACAACCGTGCGTGACGGCTACTTGCAGGTGAAAAGGATTTGCGGCAGTGCGAATCAGATCAGAGAGGTTGAATCTCTGTTGCCAGTCAAACTGGTAGCGGAGCCTCGGCAGAGGCTCAGCCAAGGCGCGGTGGAGATCGCGGCGCAGGTTGTGACCAAGACCTACGTCAAGAACAGGGACAGGCAGAACAGCGAGCGCAATTCTCAGGACTTTGGAAAGGGGGGAAAGGATATCAACAGGGAAAGGTGGGAGAATATCTTAGGGAGGAAAAGCGAAAAGATCTCGGGGGGGGGGGGGGGGGGAAAGGCCTGAAGATCTCAGCGGGGGAAATGCCTTAGGGGGGAAAGGGTGGGAAGAATCTCAACAGGGAAAGGGGGGAAAAGATCTTAGGGAGGAAAAGGGAGAAGATCTGGAAAGGCCTTAGGGGGAGGGGGGAAAGGATCTCAACAGCAAAGGATCTTAGGAAGGAAAAGGGAGAAGATCTCAGCGGCGGGAAAGGCCTCAGGGGGGGAAAGGGGGGAAAGGATCTCAACAGGGAAAGGGGGGGCATGATCTCAGGGAGGAAAGGGAAAAGATGTCAGGGGGGAAAAGGTTTTAGGGGGGAAAGGGGGGGAAAGGATCTCGGTACTCTTGGGTGTCTTCTGTTGCTAATCAGCTTTGGCATCTGTCAGGATCAAGATCTACAAGCAGTGCCGCGAGTTCTACACGAATTTCTTTTCGCTTGGCAATCAGAGATGGCCACTGTGCAGGCGTGGAACGGCGATCAGACCACATGGGGCGATTACCTGCGAAAGGTCAGGCTTCAGCACGACAAGACGCCCAAGCGGAAGCTCAAGCATTTGGGACCGGAATTGGTCTCTCGCTTGACGGACAGAGCATGGACAGCCTGCTCAGAAATCGACCCAAGAAGAGCGGCACCAAGCACCTCTTGCGTTTCCTCCTTGCCAGGTTGGGACAGACAGCCATACCAGACGCCGGCTCCTCGAGACGGGTCGTCAGCCTGGAACACCAATGAGCCAATGGGCCCAACAGGTAAGGGAGGCACACAAGAAGGTGCAGCGATCCCGTCTTCGTGCCCGACATGAAGGCAAAGGCGCACTACCGGCAGTTCAGTCAACGCCTTCCTCCCCTACGAGAGGGGTACGAGAAGATCAACAGGAAGGTGCAGCTTGGTCTGATCCCGGTCCAGAACTTCCCGTTTACCGGAGGACGAGCAGGATGACGCCGACGAAGAGCAGGGAGAAGACGACGGTGGTTGGCGATGGTCAAGATCATGGTGGAGTGGTGGTCGGGCGCTCACCAGTGGCGGCGCGGTCGTGGATGATGATCCAGACATACCATGCGATGAACTAAAAGATCAAGCCCATCAAGGTCTTGCCTCAAGAAGTGCTCGGCTGGCTTCTGTTGCGGAGGGCAAATCTACCCTCTCAGGCGCGGTTGAGTGTTCAAGCCTCGGTCCAGAATAGCTTGAGGTTCTCTGCCCTGGAGATGGCTTTGCCAGGAGGAGGAGCTGCTGTACCAGGAGCGGACTTACTGGGTGGGGCAATGATGATGATGCACGCATTCACTGGGTCGGCAGAGAGCTCCCCCCCAAGCGAGGCCTACTGCCAGGGGAGTTTCCGGAAGAAGTTCTTCAAGGACCACTGCGGTGGATGAAGCTTCAACGCTTGTGGTCCCGCACTTCATCGCCTGCTTGACGAGGAGAAGTCTATGAATGCTTCAGCCGAACAGGTGGTGGAGGCGCTGCAGACGTCTTGGGTGAGATTCTTTGGGCGCCCCAGTCTTCTACGATGCCATCCAGAAATAAGTCTGCGATCAACGCTGCTGGAAGAGTGGTGTGCGAGAAGGAGGGATGTGGAACTTCAACCATGTGCGGCAGAGGCATACCGTCAGATAGGAGTGGTGGAGCGGACATTCGGAAAAGCGTCGATCGCTTCCTCCGTTCGGAGGAGGCAACTGCTTGGGAGGCTGTGCTGGCAATGTGCGCGGCTCACAACGAGCGCGCGAAGGTCGGTGGCTTCAGCACCAATCAGTGGGCACTTGGACGGGATCCTGGACTGGATCTGAAGATGCGCGAGAGTCGGCGCGACGGAGCTGCCACACATGTGGGAGAACGTGATCCCAAGGAGGCAGTGTCCAAGGCTAATTATGGCAGTGCGGACGCGAGCTGAAGAAGCATATCGCCGGATGGTGGTGCAAGAGGCGATCAACCGTGCGTGGAACTCAAGAACGCCGCGGACTCCGTGCCGGGCAAGATTTGGATTGTGGCGGCTGGCAGACTCAAAAGGGTCAGTCTGGCTTCGCCCAGAGAGCCGTTGATCGAGGAAGGCGCCAACCCCGCAGAAATGCTCAACAAAGTGGAGAAGGGTGAGTTCGACAATTACGAAGACCTCTGCCCAGATGGTGGCCGGCTTCCTCTGATGGCTAGCCGGAAGCAAGGCCGTGCCCAGAGTGAGCGGCGGTCAAAGGCCGCCGCGAAATGTAGTCTGAGGGTAGAGGGAGGTGATAAGAGTGAATCAAGACCTTTAAGAGGCCAACAAGAGTAGGGTCTCGGATCAGTCGCTGCATGAACTGCTCAACATCGGCAGTTTGCAACGGTGGTGCGACCCAGAGAAGTCGGTCGTCATCTAATGTGGTGATGGATGAGTCTCCAGGTGGTGCGGTAGCTCTTCACGAGGATTCCGAGAAGGGCAAGGGCAACCTCGCGCGGGACTCTGCCAACAGCCACCTGATCGACTGGCGACAATGAGGTGATGAGCCGGCAAGGAGTTCCGGCATTTTCAACCAGAGGGTTCAGCAAGCTCATTCCGAAGGAGGTGATGAAAATGAGGTGGGTTTCACGTTGAAGCGCAGCGGTGCCGCGAAAGCCCGCATTGTGATCCTGGGCTTCACTGACCCAGGCCTTGCTTGTCTGCCGAAAGCTAGCCCAACCATGAGCCGGAGATCCAGACAGTTGATGGCCACTATGGCAGCGACTGCAGGGTGGTCCCAGCTGAAGTGCGATGCAAAGAGTGCTTTCCTTCAATGCAGTCGGCCCCGGATGAGTTAGCGGATGCCATGGGAGCACCTCGTGGTCGAGCTGTCCAAATTTTGAAAGCTTGTTACGGGTTAGTCAACGCTCAACGCTCCATACCAATGGTTTTGTGAAGTTCGAGATCGATTCTTTAAATTGGAGGCGAAGCGAAGCTATCCATACGGAACCTTGCATGTGGATTGTTCGCAGGGCAGTGGTTGTGGAATCATTGCATCACATGTGGATGATTTCTACATGGTGGGTGATGAATCGGATCCCGCATGGAACGCGTTCCGGGTTTAATTAACTTCAAACAGTCGTACTGGTGGAGCCTCTGGGAAACAGATGTGTTTGAGCATTGTGGCATTATCATGCAACAGCTTAGCACAGGCGAGATTCAGCTGGACCACAGCAAATTTTGCACTGGCATGAAGCAGATCGATTTGAAAGACCGATGATCATGCACCCGCTGGCCCCACAGAAGCAGAGCAGATGCGCGCTATCCTAGGCGCTGTTCAGCGGCGTGTGCAGCTGAGTGGACCTCAACACGCGGCTCAGATGCGGATTTAGCAAATCGCAGTGACGGAGGCTCGACAGTCGGTTATGTGGTGGCGGCGGCTCCCCCAACTTTGCTTCAGGGTCGCAGGTCACCAGTTTGCATGGTGAGCTGGAGATCCACGAAGCTGAAGCGAGTGGCACGCAGTTCCTTACAGGCCGATCCACGCCACTGCAAATGCTCGGTGAGCACATTGACTTACAGAGCCCAGGGATCAGTCTGCAGAAAACCCTCGGCGTGATGGTGACCGATGCCAAATCTCTGTACGATGCAGTGAGTTGTGGAGATGCTGCAACGAGTGGTTTGGGTTTGTCAGACAAGTGCTCGGCTCTGGAAGTGCTGTTGGTGATGGAAAGACTGGCAGAAGCGAAGACGGCAGTCAGGTGGGTGGTGCGCAACTATGGGTTGACGAAGCATCAGCCCTCGCTTCAAAAAAGGCCATGACGGATGGCGCCTGAACATTGGTGGCAGATGACCTCCATCTTCTGTGCGTGACCATGAATCCGCCGGTGCGTTTCGGTTTAATAGGAATTCCTTCGGCCATATTTGTGTCTTTGACGCGCGCAACCGTGCGTGACGGCTACTTGCAGGTGAAAAGGATTTGCGGCAGCACGAATCAGATCAGAGTGGTTGAATCCCTGTTACCAGTCCAATAGGCTATCCTCCAAAACTTCATCACTTACCTTGGGCAACAAAGAGGTCCCCAAAATTCGGACTTCACTCCGAGCAGCGCCTTGAGCAGTCGCAAAGGTCGAGCTAAAGGGTGAGTTGGTAAGGACGGAAATGTGCACCATGCGCCAGATGCGGGAGGTGAGCTTTTACTACCAGCAGGTGAGGCCGTTTACTCGGGAGATCCTGAACGCCCAGAGTAACTCTGAAGCCTCGCGCATAGCTTCCGCGGTGGTGGCAAATATGTCCACTTTTGTCGACCCTCTCTACAGCGCCATGGTGGAGGCCGTCAAGCTTTACGTCAACGACACCGGGTCTTGCAACCCCTTTGCAACCACCACCTTCGGCCACTCGGTCCAAAAAAAGGAAGGACGCGTCGACGCAGGGCTCGGTCTTCTTTTTTGTTGTTGCGGGGAAGCTCAGGTCCAAAGTCCCTTTGATTAGAGGCCAGGTCAACCTGCAGGCACCTCTCAGCTTTTTAGGGTTCATGTTAAGGCATCCAACGTGACAACCATCACCGTGCCGCCGCCGCCAGCATCACCGCCCGCGTCATCATTGCATCATGATCATGAGGATGATCATCATCGACATCATCAGCAACCACAACAAGAGCAACAACAACAGCAGCGGCAGTAGGACCAGCAACAGCAACCACGTCAGCAACAAGAACAATAACGATAACGAGGCCAAGAATAGCAGTAGTAGTAACCCGGACAACACCACCACCACCACCACCGCCGCCGCCGCCGCCGCTGCCGCCGCCACGACCAGCAACAACAACAGCGCTGGCACCGGCAGCAGCGCCAGCAGCAGCGCCAGCACCAGCGCCAGCAACAGCAACAGCAACAACAACAACAACAGCATCAACAGCAACAGCAACTGCAAAAGCACCAGCAACAGCACCAGCAGCAACCGCAGCAGAAAACTACGCCAAACAGCAGCAACGGCAGCAAACTACACCCAACAACACCAACCGACGCCCAACAACAACAGCAAACACACCAACAACAAAAAAACCAACAACACCAACACTAACACTAGCCACACCAACACTAACAACAAAAGCAGCAAACAGCAGCAGCAGCAACAGCAACAACAACAAGAGTAACAACAGCAACAACAGCAACAACAGCAACAACACCAACAACACCAACAACACCAACAACACCAACAACAACACCAACAACAACACCACCACCAACAACAACACCAACAACAACACCAACAACACCAACACCACCACCACCAACAACAACACCAACAACAACACCACCACCACCACCACCAACAACAAGAACAACAACAACACCAACACCACCACCACCACCAACAACAACACCACCACCAACAACACCAACACCAACACCAACAACATCAACAACATCGACTGCATCGACCACATCGACAACAACGACAACAACGACAACAACGACAACAACACCAACACCAACACCAACACCAACAACAGCAACAACAACAACAACAGCAACAGCAACAACAACAACAACAGCAACAGCAACAACAACAACAACAACAACAACAACAACAACAACAACAACAACAACAACAACACCAACAACAACAGCAACAACAACAACAACAACAACGCCAACGCCAACGCCAACGCCAACACCAACACCAACACCAACACCAACACCAACAACAACAACGCCAACAACAACAACACCAGCAGCAGCAGCAGCAGCAGCACAGAAGCAGCAGCAGCAGCAGCAACAAGAACAACAACACCGAGAACATCGACAACATCGACAACATCAACAACATCGACCGCATCGACCACATCGACAACAACGACAACAACGACAACAACGACAACACAACGACAACAACAGCAACAGCAACAGCAACAGCAACAGCAACAGCAACAGCAACAGCAACAGCAACAGCAACAGCAACAGCAACAGCAACAGCAACAGCAACAGAAACAGCAACAGCAACAGCAAGGCAACAGCAACAGCAACAGCAACAGCAACAGCAACAGCAACAGCAACAGCAACAGCAACAGCAACAGCAACAGCAAGCAGCAGCAGCAGCAGCAGCAGCAAGCAGCAAGCAGCAACAGCAAGCCGCACCGCAGCAAGCCGCAGCCGCAGCCGCAGCCGCAGCCGCAGCCGCAGCCGCAGCCGCAGCCGCAGCCGCAGCCGCAACCGCAACCGCAACCGCAACCGCAACCGCAACAGCAACACCAATAGCAACCGCAACCGCAACCGCAACGGCAACGGCAACGGCAACGGCAACGGCAACCGCAACCGCAACCGCAGCCGCAACCGCAACTGCAACCGCAACCGCAACCGGAACCGCAACCGCAACAGCAACACCAACAGCAACACCAACAGCAACACCAACAGCAACAAGAGAAACAGACGCAGCGCCAGCAACAAGAGGATCAGCAACAAGAGCAACAGCAAGGGCATTAATAACAGCAGCAACAGCAACAACAACAGCAGCAGCAACAGCAACGGTAACAAGAGCAACAGCAACATCACCAGCAACAAGAGGAACAGCAACAAGAGCAACAGCGACATCACCAGCAACAAGAGGAACAGCAACAAGAGCAACAGCAACACCAAGAGCAAACTACACCTAACAGCAACGGAGGCGAATATTTGGTTGACGCGTAGTGGGCACTTATTGTGTGGCTGGATGGGGTTCAGTTTCTTGTGCGTGCGGGTGGTCTACGTTTGTTTGGTGTGAGTTGTGAATGCGCGTGGTCGGGGGCGCTTATCATTTGCCGTGTCCTAAATGTTTCGTCCGACTGACCTGGGAACGCACCGTCAAATTTTCAGCGCGTTGCACAAGTGCTGGTTGTGGCACCCGTGGCGCCACCAATAGCACGACAAGAACAAGACCAAGAGCAACAACAAGGGCACGAACATTATCACCAAGGACGAGAGCCAGAACAAAAACAATCACGAGACCAGGAACAACGAGAACAGGTTATGCCCTGTTTGGGTCCTTAAGCGGACCAGAGAGTGGTGTTTTTCTCTGCCGTTCTTTGCAGACGAGTGGTGGGCCTTGACCTTGGGCATCTGCGACACCCGCATCGGGCTGCAGAGCTCCCTGCGCTTCTTCATGCAGATCGCCAACGGGCTGGCAGTTCAAGAAAGCGCTTTGTACGCACCAACTTGTCGCGAGTTTTTTCCGATGTCCTCGTAAGCCAAACATGGCTTGGTACACAGGGCGTGAGGATTTTTCTTGGCTGTTTTTGATTTCCTCGCAAGCCAGCACAAAGATGGGCTTGGTACACAGGGCTTGAGGATTTCTACACTGAGTTTGGGGGTTGGAGCGCGTTTGATATCAGACCCAGAGGTTGATATCTCAGGCAAACCTCTTAAGCCGTTCTTTAATCAGGGAAGAACCCCCCTTCTAAAGCAAAACTCGATCTGAAGGTGGCGTGGCTGGGGGGGTTATTCCCATAGCCCCTGAAGCAAGTTCCATGCCTGAATTCAATCGGCAGGGGCCTGTTTCGGTGAAAGCAGCACACGCCAATTCATAATTGTGTTGTGTTGGAGAAGAACGTTATTGACAACCGCTGCGTTTTCAGGCAAGACGCACGCAAACACTACTGTCCACGGCCATAGTTCCCAGAGTAGTACTGTAAGAGCTGTAGAAAGTGAGCAAATCCCCAGCAAAGGGTTCATTGTCATGCCCACGAATCCTACGCAATCAGGCATGTATTGCAATGTATTTGGGATTTTCGGGAAAGTCAAGGGCTCTTTTCCAAACATGGGACAGCCTTCGGGAATGGGAAGCTTGAGCCTTGGGGCGAAGGTCCTCAGATTGCACAGGCAAAGTGGAGCTTACGGTGGTTGTGTCTGCGCAGACACAACTTTTGCGAGACTTGGTGACGGGCAACAAGCTGGATGCCGCTTGGCCATTTGGCTGTGGCTCAAAATGAACAACCAGGGGACTGCAGGTTTTGGTCCATGTTTCCACTTACCAGGGTTCCAAAAATGGGTACAAATGTTTGCCCCACAGCCATTTCTCGTCTCCAACGCTGCCCACTTTTTGTTTGAATGGGGGCGCTTTTGCATTGGCAACCAAAGCGGTCTTCCGGGCACTTTGTTTTGGCGCAAGTTTGGTTGTCTGCAGATGTATTTGCTGACTAATTATACTGTTTTCTCCGTGGTGACACCTTGGTACTGGTACGGCGAAATGCGCATGTCTCAAGACTCGGCGCCCCTCCATGTCACGTCGGTTCCCTTCGGTTTTTTTTGAAGCCATCCGACATGCGGTCCTGCCCAAGCCGGGTCTTCAAGGGAATCAAATAGGTTGACACCGATTTCCAAAGTTCCACATTTTGAGTGCAAGGTAAACGCGGGGAAACCCCGGCCCTACAAGTCTGTCTCTCCCTCTCTCTCTCTCTCTCTCCTCTCTCTCCTTTCTCTCCTCTCTCTCCTCTCTCTCCCTCTCTCCTCTCTCTCTCTCCCTCTCTGTCTTTTTCTCTCTCTTTCTTTTTTTTTTTTTCTCTCTCTCTCTCTCTCTCCTCTCTCTCCTCTCTCTCCTCTCTCTCTGTCTATCTCTCTCTCCTCTCTCTCCTCTCTCTCCTCTCTCTCCTCTCTCTCCTCTCTCTCCTCTCTCTCCTCTCTCTCCTCTCTCTCCTCTCTCTCTCTCTCTCTCTCCTCTCTCTCCTCTCTCTCCTCTCTCTCCTCTCTCTCCTCTCTCTCCTCTCTCTCCTCTCTCTCCTCTCTCTCCTCTCTCTCCTCTCTCTCCTCTCTCTCATCTCTCCTCTCTCTCTCCTCTCTCTCCTCTCTCTCCTCTCTCTCCTCTCTCTCCTCTCTCTCCTCTCTCTCCTCTCTCTCCTCTCTCTCTCTCTCTCTCTCTCCTCTCTCTCCTCTCTCTCTCTCTCTCTCCTCTCTCTCCTCTCTCTCCTCTCTCTCCTCTCTCTCCTCTCTCTCCTCTCTCTCCTCTCTCTCCTCTCTCTCCTCTCTCTCCTCTCTCTCCTCTCTCTTCTCTCTCTCTCTCTCTCTCTCTCTCTCTCTCTCTCTTCTCTCTCCTCTCTCTCCTCTCTCTCTCTCTCTCTCCTCTCTCTCTCTCTCTCTCTCTCTCTCTCCTCTCTCTCCTCTCTCTCCTCTCTCTCCTCTCTCTCTCTCTCTGCCTCCCTCTCCCTCTCTCTCTCTCTCGCTCTCCTCTCTATCCTCTGTCTCTCTCTCGGGCAAAAGTTCTTCTTTTTGGCCAAGCGTATGCTGTGATTCTAGGGTCATACCCTTCCAACTGGCTCGGTGCACTTTGGCAGACATTTTGTTTTTGGGAGCAGTGAGCCATGTTTGCAGCCCTGGCACCATGCCCTGGCAGTTCACCTTTTGGGTTCGGAAGGTGAAAGCATTCGCTGGATTCGGTTCGTTTCCAGTTTCCTTTTTCGACACATGAGTCACATGAGTCACAATCAAAACCCAGTATTAAAGTGGTCTCCCCAGAACCATGTAAAGAAGTAAGAAGGCGGCCGCAACTATTTCTGGCTGGGACTGCCCTTTACTAACCTTCATCTACCCGGGTTTTGATTGTGGCTCACATGAGACCTCGTGCCTTGAGACATTTTTCTCCTGAGAACATGCCGTCGCCGGTGACCCAAGAGATGCTGAACCAGCTGATCGAAGCGCGGGCGGGATGGTCGGCCTTGATGGAGGGCTTGGAGGCGGGGCTTCGAGTGAAACCACCGGGCCCAAGGGGCACCGTGCGACCCCCGGGCTCAAGCGGAAGAAATCAACGAGACGGATGGAACCATGCGTCAATGAGAAGTGTTCGCAACCCAAATGCAACACAATTCAATTCACGCGTACATTCAGATCATGCGGAGAAAAAGAGTGGGTAAGAGGCAATTGAAACAGACAGGAGAGAGTGGACATGTCTTTCGCCCGTCTGTCACAACTGGGGTGGACAGAACACCGGTAGCCGTTGAATTGCTAGGAATACTGGGCGAAACCACCAATCCCAAATGGTGTGAATCGGATGTCGTTCGGGCGCAGTATCGATTTGGCATCAACTGGTTTCCCGTTTGGGTCTACCCAATGCATGTGTCGTTTTTAGGGGACCATCCAAATTGGTGATTCCTTGCGGTTTCCTTTTAAACGAACCCCAAACCGGGTATTGGTTTGATGAGATCACGGCTTCAGGAAGCCATCCAGCTGGACGAGCTTCCGCAGGCGCCGCGTTCGAACGCACCGAAGGTCGGTGCTTGAGCCGTGGTTGTAACACCGTTGGAGTATTGACCCCACCATGGAAGAGCTTGGTTTGGAAAATGGAAACATGAAATAAAACCTGCGGTCCCCTGATGGTTTAATTTTGACCCACAGCCACGTGGTGCTTCGCCTGTGCTCAAAAGGCTATTTCTTTTAGTTTTGTTTGGAAGACCCTTCTTATACCATGGTTGATGTGTACCGCAGACTGTCCCATGCGCAAGTTTCCCATGCTGACGGGTCCATTGAGAGGAAGTTGATTCAGCTAGAATTTCACAGCTATGTTGGAAGGGTACATGGTGCTTCGCCTCTGCTCAAAAGATATTTTTTGTTTGTATCCTGCCAGGTGGATGTCTTCCGGGGCATCATCTTGGGCAACGCCCAATTTTCTCGGCTGATGAATGCCATGGAGCTTCTGGTGCAGGCCTCCGTCGCTCCGTCGACGTCGAACGGAGCGATGGGTTCGTTTTTCCTTTGGAGGCGGTAAGGACCAGTTGGTTTACTTCTCCTCAGAAACAAGGAGATGGTGGAAACAGGGTTTTGTTGGTTTGGTTCTCCTTAGAAAAAAGGAGATGGTGGAAAGAGCTTGAAACGCGAGGTTGGAACATAAAACTTGGGAACTATCAGGTTGGCTGAACGCTGGTTGTTCTAGCTCAAAGGAAGTTGTCCTAAACGTGTTTTGCACAGGTTCAACAAAAAGGCAACAACTCGGAGATGTCTTCAACAATGGCTGTATAAACTCATGTTTCTTCAATAGGTCTCACAGGCTGTCTTAAGCAAAGAGGGTTTATAGCGCCGGACAATCACTTGGAACGCATTTTGGAAAAAATGGCAGTGGGTCAAAAATAGGCGCCCAAAATGAACCCTGGTAAGTGGAAACATGGACTAAAACCTGCGGTCCAACTCCTGGTGGTTTAATTTTGACCCATACCCAAATCATAATCTGAAGATACGTTCTAAGCCGCTTAGAACCTTGGCCTAGCCGGTAAAATGCCAGGCCGTCGGCACTGCTGGGTCTCTGGTTGAGACCCGCATCCTTGACCTCACCCATCGCCAGCAGCACCGGCTTCATCAGATCCCCGCCCCTCGGCGACAGGGGGCTTCCTGGTCGCTTCGCCTTTGGACGGTTTCCAGGCATAGGTGTCCTTTTTGGTTGTTCTGGTAGAAAAATAGATGGCCCTGGTTTACCTAGTGCTTGAATCATCTACCAGGGCCATCTATTTACCCTGAAAGGACATCTATGTTTCCAGGTGTTTTCTCAAAGTGGCTGTGGCTCAAAACCGTTTTGGGATCCCATTTGGGGTAGGTGAATTGGTGAATTCACCACCCACTTTAGAACCTATTTTAGTGGGGGTTGGTATGCTCACTGGGACGATTTGGATTTGACCCATGGGGTGTTTTCTCAAAGTCAGAAGCTAGTGCTGTTTCCTGAAAGTGCCTTTTCCTTTGGCAGTGACTTTGATACAGCAATTGGTGCCAGTGTTTCGGGGCTCCAATTTGCTGGTCTCTTTCAGGAATTCAGGATTTTGATCAACCGGGCACCACTCCCTAAGTGGTCTGAATCCAACCACTAAAAGGGGACACCCGCCGATCAAAATCAACCAGGGGTTTATTAATCCGGGGTTAACATCAACCCCGTCGCATGGGTTGTCTGAAAACGGACAGAAGCAGACGAGGTTCCTCGTCTCAAAACGGGGGCGGATTTTCTTTGGTTTCTGAGAATATGGCGGCGCCTCGCACGTTGCACTTTTGTCAGCTTCGGGGGTTTGGGAAGACGGGTAGGGCCGTTGGCCCTTCAAAATGAGATGGGTTCTTGACATGCCCACAGGTCAGCTGGGTTGAACATAGATGGGTTCCACTGGTTTCAGTTTGGTTCTGATGCAACAGTGCCATCTATCCTCCAAGAAAGCTATCAATGCGTCCTGTCCCAGTGTTTTTGTTCTTCTGTTTTTCAGCTGGTTTCCTTTTTTTGGACGCTTGACACACTCGAAAGGAATGAAGGCACACCCCTCGAAATTCTTCGAAATGGGTTTGTTTGTTATGTCAAGCTTCTTCCCGTGAATGTTCCTGTCCAGTTTTCTGGTTGCAAACAGGGCTTTCAGATTTTTTGTTTCCAGAGCCCCCAGCCATTCTCAGTGATTGATTCTCCCGGAGGGTTCCGCTGAGGTGAAGGCCTACCAGATTCTCCTCGGATATGAGGTGGACACCAGCTGGCAAGAGCTGAATGCCAGCATCGCGGACTACCGCTTGGCGCGCTTCGGACTGTGACAGACGCCGTTGGGTTAGGGTCCTTCGGAGAACTCAGATGCTGACATTAGAAGGTTAGAAAGGGACAGTCCCCAGAAATAACCGTCGTCTACCGTATACAGCAAATGACATAGGGCATGCAACATCGGGGAAATGAGATTACGAAAGAATCGTGCCAGTTTGGGCTTACATGAATTGGGGTTTAGCCAGTAAGTTATAGCCATAGTTACAAGTCAACCACGCCCCGTCCCACTCCTAGGTGTTGCGACCCACCATGAAATTGACCGTGCCTCAAGATCTCAGAGGCAGGGTAGCCCTGTAGCGAAATGCAATATGGCCTTCATTCTATGTTTCGCACACGGGGCTCTCAGTTTGGATGGCGAGTCCTGTGGATTTCACCTGCACCCAAAAAGGCACCCAAAAAACAACCCTGCTGAGGCTAAACTATGCGGATTCCTTTTTGTTGGACTCTTTTGAAGCGCCCTTTTTAAGCTGACACCGTTCAACCTGTCGGACCCTGCACCCTCACAGGGTGAGCACCCCAAGGTAGACTTAGAAATTGGAAACCTATGGGTTTGCTCAGTCCAGGACAAAGTCAACCTAGTGGATGAATTGGGGCTCAAAACCATTGGCCACTTGGGGCGTATATGGCATGTTTTTTTTTCTTTTTCTTTTTTTTTTTTGCTGGGAGTTGGTACCCTTTTCAGCCTAAGCCATTTGTTACTCGGGCCATGCCGAACCTGAAGGCAGCGCCAGATGGTCCTCGGAGCCCCGGCCAGCGGCAACATCAAAGAGCTTGTGCCGGTGACCAACATCTGCGTTGTACGTAGCTCAGCGCATATTGCGGGTATCTCCCGTGCTCCTGCCTTGGGTCAATTTCTGTTTGCAGCCCTCCAGCAGGTTGTTTTAAAGGGCATGATTTTGGGTGCCAGCTCCTTGATTGAGACAAAGCCACTTGCATGCCCACACGCCATGAGGGTGGTTTTTGGGGTTATCTGGATGATTCTGTAGGTGTAACCCGTGCTTATACCTCAGAGAAGCTTCCCCATTCCTCCCAGCTCCTTTCTTGCAGAAAGCCAAGGAAGAGGGTAGTCTTGGGCACAGAGCAATTGAACCCTTCAAGTCCGATACTCAACCTTCTGAAAATGAGCGGCTGAAGCCTGTATGTTTCGAGCTTCAACCCAGTGGTATTTGTAACAGCGCTGCTTTCGTTGGCTTTCGTGGTTGCTCCGGGTGCGGGCGTTGCGTTGTTCTTGCCATGCAAGTGTTGAAAGGGTGCTGCCGTGTTTGTTGCTTTGCTTTTAGTTGTTGGGTCCTGCTATGATAAACATGTGGCCAGTGGAATTGCAGTCATCATTCTTTACATATAAGATATTGTGAATGCCTGCCATCGAGAATGTTGCTGCTGTTGTCGATGGGGTCTTATAGTGGTCTTTGTTGTCAACCTCGAGTTGCCCCCGTCTTGCCCATTTTTTCCTAAGTTTGTCGTCTTCTTGCGCTAATGTTTCTGGATATACTTGCTGTCCAGGTGGAGACGCCTTTAATGGATGGGTTTGGCCAATACACTGCGTGCGATAGCTGATGGTGAATGCGCGCGGAAAAAGACAGCTCAATCACCATGTTGTCCATGTCCTCTTCCTCCTCCTCCTTTTCTTCATCCTTGTCCCCTTCCTCATTCTCATCATCGTTGCGTCCTTGCCTCTTCGTCGTCGGGGTGTTCGTGGTTGTGGTCGTTGCATCGTCATTTCGGGGCTGGAGCCTTTTGCTTTCCCTCACTCCATTCCCTCCTTGCTACTGGGGTCATTATTTTGGCAGTTTTAAGCGGTTGTCAAAGTCAGAAACTGGGGTAAGGGGTGACTTTGACAATGGCAAAGCCCACACGGGGCCAGTGGTGCCTAGGTATGTTTGCCGCCGCCTTCTCTGTCTATCATCGGATTGAGGAGGCTGCGCGTTCGCTTTGGACTGAACCTACTGTTTAAGAATCGACCCCAGTTGGTTTTCGTCTGTCTTCCTTTCAATCCAGGAGAAACGAGGGTGCCTCTTCACATCTTAACTCAGAAAGGAACTCTTCCAGTGGATTCAGAGGAACAAGGTCTGACCAGCAATGGGCTCCCCCATCTTGGGGCATGGACTCAACTCCCATTCTCCATCCCATAGCCAGAGCGCTGCATCCGAGGGTTTCGGCTCAGCTTTGGTCGTTAAGGTCAAGAGAGGGATGCCTCACGATTGAAAGGATCCCCGGTGAGTTCGGGATGTAACTTGAGACTCTGATCTCCAATTTTTTTAAATGTGATTTCGTAGTTGTTTTCTAGTTTTTGTCCGTATGCCCATGCCTGTGAGGGTTCTCTTTCCTCCTGAGGGCGTGCAAGAGTGTCAAAACAGCGACATGAGTTTGCTCGGGCGCGTCTTTTCCCAGAGTACAGTTGTTGTTCTTCTGGTTGTTTGTTCTGTGAAACCAACGGGACCCATGAATTTTGTGGGTCCCCACGCGATTTGCAGACAAGCGTCTACCTTGAAGAGGAACCCGTCAGTGCACCAGCTAAGCTGGCATGTGGCCAGCTAGATATACAGCTTATCGATTCCTTTTCCCAGAAAGCAAACGAAACAACAGCTATTGCGGCGAGTGGGATCCACTGAGGGTCAACTGTAAACGGGCCCGGTGACATGGGTCACAGGTTCAAGTTGCCAGCGGGAAGAGTGGCCAAGATCTTAAGTGGGGAACGCGATTGAGGTGTCTCACATTCGCAACCTTTTTTTTGTGTCTTGGAGGTGGAAACACGATAGATTTGGCAGAGGAAATTCTCTTGGGGCGAACCCCCCAGTATCTTCGAAATGCCCCCCCATCGCGGGGCAGGGTGGTTCTGTGTGCAAAGCAATGTTTCGTCTCATGGCATCGGTCAACAGGGGGCCCGAAGGTTTCTCGTTGCTTTCTTACCCTCAGCATGCCTCAAAAAGGCCCTTCCCCTTTCTTGTTGCCCGCCGTTGGATGGTCCGGGAATGCTTTGCCCACGTGGCACTGCAAGAAAGCAGACGTTCTTTGGATTCTACAGATCACTGGGCAGGGTTACAGCTTAGGAGGGAATCTTCAACCCACTTATGAAGGGGGCAACGGAGGTTGGTTGACTTGTAGCCAGGGTAATAACCTGTGAGACACACATTCATGCGCAGGCTTGCTACGACCTGGCGCGGGGCAACCGCGCGCGGGTGAACGACATAAATGTCTTCGTGCCGGCGGCACTGGCCGAGATGGAGCTCGCGTCACATGCGCTGGAGCATTTCTACGACGGCCGAAGCTTGGGCTTATCGAAGCAGCCGAACAGTGTCCCGTGTCTCGAGGCGTCCTCTTTTGGGAAAACATCTGAAAGCCGCACCCATAGTGTGTAGCCTGGAGCGTTTTCAGCGAAGAAGGATAGCAAAACACACCCAGTAATTTCTTTTTCTTTTGGGGGGGGGTGTGGTAGGTAATAAAGGGCACCACCCCTTAAAATCAAAAAAGGACAATGGGTGGTTCCCTAGTATTGTGGAGTAATGGTCTATGTTTGATTTTTTGGTTCCTTCGTTCAACTCTGGTATTCCCTTGTTTCCTTGCCAGCGAAAGTAGCCATGCTCCACTTGGGGCGTTTTTGACACAGGCCTTTGGTTCAAAGAGAGCTGGTCAGGTCTTCAGGGCTCCAGGCCGATTCGGGTAGAAGGTCAGTCACGGACAACCTTCTTGCCAGACATAGCTGCGGAGGTCCGCCTTCTTAATTCTTGAGGCATGGTTCTGGGGAAACCATTTTAATGCCGGGTTTCGATTATGACTCAGGTAACTCTTAGTGGTGGGTTTTGGGGGGTTGCCCCTCCAAGCCGCTTGAACCGAGGCTGAGAAGAGGTTTTTTGGGCTGAAGGCTTTGGATCTTGGGGGGTTTCGGCCCGATGACAGTGGGAAGCTGAAGACCCCCACTGCGCTGGCGAACATGGATTCCACTGCCAGATGTTTCGAAAACAACTGAAACCAGCGGAATCCATCTATGTTCAACCAAAGTTGGCACTTGGATCTTTCTTTTCATGAGGGATTCTGTCTTAGATTTGGGGGCGCTGGTGTTTGGTTTCCCCTCCATCGGAAGTAGAACCTCTCCTATGGTACAGGCTTCGGAGTAGCTGGGGGCAGACCAAAATTCCTTGCTCATCCGGCAGCTGAAGCATGTGGGCCAAGCCAAACTGGGGATTTCCGCTGGTGAGAAAGAGTGTTGGTAGCATCCCTTAAGCTTAGTTCTACGTTTCCTCAACAGCGGATCTATTAACATGGTCGGTTTTCTACACACACACACACCATGGCTTTGTTTTCCTCATTCCAAGAACCAATGTAAGTAAGACAAGTTGAATAAACCACACCAGGGTCGTCTTGAGGCAACTGTAAATACTTTAGGGTGAAACGTTTGGAAAAAGACGACATCTTGGCCAGCTGGATTTCGTTCCATGTCTAGTCGACAAAGTGAGCACAAGGACTTCACGGATATAAGACCTATGCACTTGGCGTCTCTTTCCACAAACGGCTTCTTGCTTTGGGGAAGTCCTGCCAGCCCGTCCACCATTCTCCAGAAGGAGAATCTCCGTTCTCAACCGGGGGAACGCCCACGAACCGCGCCATCCAAATCCAAGCCGGGGGGGTTGTTGGGAAGCCCTTAAGGCGGCTTCTTGGATCCAAAAAGTCGAAGCAACTCCCCACAGAAATCCAATTCACAGCGTCAAATAGGGGTACCCCACTTGTGGGTTTCGCGCTCAGCCTGGAAGGCTACCCTTCGTGTTCAACGCATTCCATGTCTCCCACTCCGAACTCACCGGGATTCAAAGGCCCGCGGGGTTTTGCGCTTTTGGCAGAAACACCGCCATTCACTAGCATAGGTGTCCTTTTTGGTTGGTTTGCTTAAAACTAGAGGGCCCTGGTGTGGATGGGGTTTATTCCATTTACTAGGGAAACCCATCTATTTTTTCAAGAGGCCACCTATGTGCACTAGGCCAAGAGGCCGTCTGCGAGAATCTCACCTTGAGCGTGGACGAGTGGAGCAAGCTGATGGCTGCGACCATGTCGCTGGGCGGCCTCAGCCAGGACGTGATCACCGCTTTCACGCTGGCCTCGGAGGTGCCGACTCCGAATCCGGAGTCGAGGGGCCCAAAGGCTCGAGGGGCCCAAAGGTTGGATGCGACAAGAAGGGGCTTCAGGGAGCTGTTGGCACTTCTTTTTTGATCCGTGCGGCCAATCGCGATCACGGTCCGCTGTTTCAGGGAACTGGCACGGATTTATGTGAATCCCTGGTAGAGCGAATGCGGATCTCTTTTTGCCCCGGGGGGGCGGGAGTGGCCGCAAGGTTTATCCGGGGTCGTCACCGAGATGATGGCAAAATACACTTTTCTTGAGAACCAGACAGGCAATTGTTGAAATATTAAGCTCATTCTAGGTTTTCCTTGAAAGGGCAGAGCGACACTTCGTTTCAGCCTTTTGTTTGCGGGAAAATGGGGGATGTGTCCCAAGACGATTTCGGGTTCGCTCGCGAATTCGCCCGTAAATTCAGGCCGGAAGCCCGAAAAAGCGGGTCTTGCGAAAACGAATGACTTCGGATTCCAGAGGACCCTACTTAAGTTAAACATTCCGCTATACATTTCCTTACTAAAAGGAAACTGACGTGTACGGTCCTCCGGATGAATCCGAAATTTATCATGGCAATGTTTGCTTGCACGAAAGGGAACGAGGATGTTTCGCCGTTTCTTGGCCTGCGTTTTTTTTTTTGAGCCTTTCTACATGCTCGGGTCCGGGAAACGACTCTTAGAAGCCACGAACCTGAATGCAGAATCCTTGCCAAAAACTGACGTCGTATCTTCTTTCGCGACTCTTGGGCTAACATTTCTGCGTATGCGTGCAAGCCAAAGACATGATGCACGTACTACGCCAGGTCGCCAAGCGCCGAGTCACGAAAAGATCGCAGCAACACTTGCGGTGGCAAGTTCCTCCTTTGTGTTTCTGGCGCGCGATCCTTGGGTTTTTCCTGGCAACTCTTGCTCCGCGACAGGCTTTGCAAGCTGCTATCTGACGTGCGTGCTCAGCTTGCGTGCTTGCCGCGCTTGCTCTTTGCATTCGTGTTCTGCACGGAACTTCTAGCTGCCCTTCGCAAACTGTATTACGCGATCGGCGCATCAAGTGCAATTTTCATAGGGAGAATGTTCGGGAATGTTGGAGGTAATTGGGGGTTGGGCATGTCCCATGTCCTTGGGTATGTCTTTGGTCGACTGAATGGCGGCTGAGCGTTGCTCCTGCGTCCTCGGAGGATGCGTTCTCCCAAATTCATCCCCAGACGCCCAAGACTGACATCCTAAGTCTCCCAAATCCCATTCCCCATTTCTACCAATCGGATTGTCAGCCTTTCTCAAAAGTCCAGTCCGCGGTCCCTATACTTCCCTTGGCATGTTTCACCGTGAGTTGCCAACTGAAGGTGAGGCTGCCTCTTCCTTGTTCCAGCAAGAGAGCCAAACAACCACATTTTGTTCTCACCCTGTAATGCTGTACATATGCCTCCCCCCATTTTCCATCCCTGAAGAAAAATTATTCCATTTTCTACCATTTTGTTTCTTCTTCTTTTTTGTTTCCCGGTTTCTCAACAGGGTAGTCCCAAAATATTTGAAATTTCCTGCTGAGCGCCAATGGAATCAGGGGTCCAATCCCCAATCGTGACGCATATATAGCCAAAGTAAGGCATTATCTTGTTGGTTTCCAGAAGGAAGCCTTTGAGCGTTTCTTGGGCTTCCCTATTTTGACAACTTGTTATGGAATCTGACCACTTTTGTTCTGAGTTTTGCCTGAATTTCCCACGTTTTTGGGTCCTCATATTTTCTCTTGAACGTGGCTTCATTCCCCAAAAGCAAGACAATTGTCCTTTCCCTCAATTGGGTATGTGTCAAAATCGGGGACCCCTTCAAGGAGTGTTTTTGTTTTTGGGTTACACAATACCAATGGCTATGATCTTAATCCTGAAAACGCTCCCAAACAAACGGTTCGCAATTGAAATCCATACCTGTGTGGACCCTTCACCTCTCGCGCTCAAAACCGTAGGCAATTTTAGGGAGTTCCTGGTTTTGGATACTCCTTTCTGGTGCGATAGGGAATCTGGGAATGAACCCTGTGGCTTTGGTCCACCATCAGTTGGATGGTTTAAAGGACACCAGCAGTTGGATGGTTTAAACCTCGGGGGTCCTGAGCCATTTGGCCATGCCCCGCATCTCTCGCTCTCTCGCCTCAGCTCCTTCGCTTCGAATCGCTTTAGGTCCAAGGCCCCTCAGAGCAGCAGGGCGTCACAGCAGCGCTGGAGGAGCTGACGGCGGCCATGGAGCGATTAGTCATGGGCTACCCGAGTTCCCACGCCCCGCGGCGATGGCTGGGGCCAGTTTGGTCATTTGGTTCGTTTCTTTTGTCGGTTTCGCTGGTTTGGTTGAAGGGCCTTCCTAGTTTCTTGGTTTTCCGGTTTTTGATGGTGCAAGGGCCTTCCTTTTTTGGGTTGGTAGGCAATCGAAGGAAGCCACAGTTTGCGAAGTCAAACAGAAGATAAGGAAGCCATTTTGGGTAGTTCAAGGGGACAGGTTTATTTTTCTTGACCCGGCGGTGTTTTGGTTCCCAACCGGGATAAAGGGTCAACAAGAGGGTTTGTGCTAAAAGCGAACGGCAGTAGCCCGCAACAGCTTCTGTTCAATTGCGTTTGGCATGCTGGCGCATGGCTTGTCTCAAAATTCGGGTACCCCCGAAATGGGGGTGTCCTTTTTGGTTCCCGAAACCAACTCAAAAAGGGATCCGAAAGACACACCCACATACCCAAAATGGCTGCTTCAGCATGGGGTTCTTCTTCTTCTTCTTCTCCTCCTCCTCCTTCTTCTTTGGGGGGGTGGAGGAAAAAACCTTCGTCCTTCAAACCTCCTGCTAGTTTCGAAAACTGATACGGCCCGGTCCTTGGATTCCGGCTTTCAGCCCTTTAGACTGAATGGGTGACTCTTTGGGAGCAGTGTCCGAGTCCGACTGTCCGAGAGGTGACGGTCCGAACCCGGGGGAAGATTGAAACAGGATGCGGGGACAATCTTCCTGCGTTGTGTTCAAAAGGGGAATCCCCGGGTGTGTTGGACAATCCGAACCCCAGAGGATCTGTCCCCAAATGAAAAGAACGCGGGTGAATTTGAAGGTGTGCCTTGACACCCGTGGCGTTCTTGGCACTCCGATCTGATCGCTGCAGCTGCGTGTTGGGTTCTTTTTTTGGGGATTTCCAGGAACGCGCCCTCTTCACTTGTGCCTCGTTTCTGAATCTTGCCTCAGGCAGCTTGCTTGCTTGTTTTCCCCATTTCTTTAATAAATAATATGTACATGTATGTATATATTACATTATTATTTTTTCAAGAAAGGAACAAAGACTCAATGACTCAACCCTTTGCGCATTTCATGAAGTGCTCAGGGAACTGCACGCTTTGTACGCAACCCGCATGTGCTGCCTTTTTGCCAGCATCATGCTGCTTGCGCTTCTCGAACCGCCCGCCATGCGCGCACACACCTCAAGCATGTGTTCCACTCCAGTCGTGTATGGCTTGTGTTCCGTTCTTCTCCCTGCTTAGCTGCTTTGTTCTGGTTTATATAGCAGCGGTTTTCAAGGGAAACCAACAGGACCCACACGGCTGGGGTCCTGGGACCAAACGGCTTCCCGGCCTGGGATCCGCGAGCCGTTAGGTTCCCACGCAGCCCACACAGAAGCTGTTCAACCAGGTCCTCCAGGCGTTCCCCGGGGTTTGGCTGGTCTTCACAGTATGGGGTGCTGGGATTGTTTGTCAGGCCTATATGGGTGTGGCTCAAATTAAGCAGGAGGGGTTACGCAGGTTTTGGTCCAAGTTTCCACTTACCAGGGTTCCATTTTGGTACTGGCTTTTTGAGCCACAGCCACCTCTCGAGTTCATATGGCACTTGAAGTCGCTTCAGGAGTTTGGGTGCCGCTCAACAAACTACACACCAAAAGTGTGACCAAAGGAAGCCTGACCACAAAGCACACGAAGAATGCCTTGAAGGGCAACCGAGGGGCGAAACGGATCCCTGGGATTCCACTGAGTCAGTCAAAGCCAACCCCGAGTTTTAGGGGAAGCCACCGGTAGAATCGATCTGGATCCAGTGGACATCCAAACTGCAACCTTCAGTGAAGCTTGACAGGAACCCCAGTGCCGCTATTTGTCGGTGCTGGTTTGGTTTTTGCCTTCCGTGAAGCCCTTTTCATTGAAAATCGGGCGATATCATAAATGGGTCCCAGCTTGCCATTTGTTACCCAAACCGGTCACCCAATTTCAAGGGAACTGGCAAACTTTGCCTCGGATCCTCCAGATGTTCAGCGAAGAAGTTGGGGGAACGGGTCTTTGGGCTTCCAGGGAACAGGTCTGGTTAGCTTTTCGTTTTTTTTTTTTGCGGACACCCTTTAAAGTGCCAAGCCCTGGAGAAAACCCGGTTTCAACCTATTTGCTTCACAACCTCCTTCGATTTTCCTTCAACATTATAATTCAAATTCGGGGGACCCCAAAAATGGTGCTTTCCTCGGGGTAGAGGGCCAACCCCTTTGTTTTTCGTCTACGGGAACAGTTGGGGTTGGACTATAATCCTGGTGGCAACCCGCTTCCATGTGGGTAACGGGAACCTCGACATCGGCGGACCTTAAATGACTTGGTCTTCCTTCCGGTTTTTCCCCCGAAGGGGCCAACCCCTTTGGGTTTCCACATTGATTCAACATCCCGACTCCCTGAAAAACCCAAAAAGAGGGGCGGATGCTTCAACCACATTGAGTTCCCAATTTTTCGTCCGGCACCCCCTGGCCCCAGCCCCATGAACTCTGTGCCCGGGGACACGACGTCCAGGTGCTTCTGCCGGCGAAGGAGGCCCTGCACGACGCCGTTTCGCAGCTGACGGTTTCGCAGGCGATGGCTCGGGCCAACGCTTTGCTGGACTCTTGGCGTCAATGTTGTTTTTTTGTCTCAAGGGCCATGTGCGGGTATCAGAATATGGCGGGTCAAAAATTCAACCCTAAATGGACATATGATCCAAAATCCGCGGTCCCCTGGTTGTTTCATTTTGACCCACAGCCATATGTATGTCATTTTCCGAGAAAATGTATCACTTGAAGTATTGTTTGCTTTTTCAGGAGACTTCAGCAGATTGAAGGAAAAAAGGCAATTTTCGTGGGAGGTTCTAGTTGCTTGCTGGTTTCGGGGGGAGGAAAGCCGCTTGCGACGGTTGAGGC